CCCCCCCCATCCCCCAGACCCCTAGGCTGTGGAGGGCTGGAGAAGTCCCCAGAGCTCACCCACATTCCTCTGTCTGCAAAAGCAACACCCCTGGACTAGGGGTGAGAGGTAGACAGAAGATGAAAGGCCAGATGTCTCCCCCATCCCCTCGAACTCCAGTGTGTGCACAGATCCACACCCTGTTTGAACAGCTGGGACCAGAGGGCATGCAGATAAAAACCAAGCCAGGGGGCAGGAGGAGATGCAGATGAGCCCAGAGATCCCACCACAGGCCCATGACAAGCAGCCACCAAAGCAGAGAGAGAAGCGTCTCCCGGAGACTGCTCCAGGCCCAACTCATTCATGGGAGGGGAGGTTCAGGGACCCATCGAGGTGCATACACACGTGCATCACCCAAAAGAGACGGGCAAAAAGAAACAGCCGGCCCAAGCCACAGTGAGAGCCACGGGAGCAGCTAGAATCAAAAAGACATCATGACAAGTGTTGGGGAGGATGTGGAGAAATCGGAGCCCTCATTCCCAGGGTCCCCATGGACTTGATGGTAGCGGGTGTTTTTTTGGTGTTTTTTTAATGCACTGCTAGTGGGAAGGCAAAACGGCCGAGCTGTGTCGGAAACCAGGTTGGCACTTTCCTGAAAATGTTAACCAGAGGGTTACAAAAACATGCACACAAATGTTGATAAGCAGGGTTATTCATAAGAGTCGGAATGGGCTAACAGCCCGAAGAGGCACTAACTAAAGAAAGGACAGGCGGAATATTACTCAGCAATGACAAGCACGGAGCGCGAGCCAGGAAGACCTGCTAGTTACCAATGGCCACGCATCGTAGGAGTCTCCTACAGTGATGTGTCAGAACAGGCACAGAAGCAGACTATTGGCCGCTGTGGGCTGGTGCCCAGCCTTGGTGAGCGCACAGGGCTCAACAGGACAAAGTAGCTGGTGACCGGCCCCTCCAGGAACGATTATAGCCTGAAGACACCAGGGGCAGTGCCCTCACCAGAGCTGACCTCCGCAGCAGGGCCAGGGGTAGGGTCTAGAGAACGGGGAAGTGACTTATAGGTAGGGAGCTCTTTTGGAGGGCGATGAAAACATTCTAAAAGCAGTGTGGTCATGCTTACACAACTCTGAGACGCTGGCCTGCTGAATTGGATACACTTTATATGTGACTTAGAGCTCAATAAAGCCATTTTTTAAAAAAGAAGAAGCAAGAACGAAGAGAAACAAGACCACAGACCCAAAAGGACGGCCTCCTTTTCCGACCCTCCCCTGCCTTCCAAGCCCAAGGAATGCCGGGTGCCAGGTTCCGGGCTTAGACCTGGAGTCCAGGGGACAGGCACATGGCCGGCGTTTGGCCGAGGACCAGGCCTGGCATGGGGATTCCTGCCAAGGCCACTGTGGAAGAAGCCGGGGCCGCCGGGCCGGTCAGCCTGCTAGGGATGAGCGGGAAGAGGACAGGTATATGTATGTGCTAGGGAGGGGGGAGGGGCGCGTGCCCCCGGAGTGAAATGTGGACCTTATTATGCCGAGACTTTTACTGTTACTAATTATGACTGCCTCGTCCTCCCCGCCTGAGGTGCCCCTTCCCGCCCCTGGCCCCTGTTGGATTCCCTCTCAGGCGAGAACACTGACGTCAGGAGAAATAGGGGCCCCACCCACCGGGCCAGCTGCCGCCCTGCCCCCCACCCACCCCTGTGGGGCCCCACACAAGGGGAACTTGAGCTGGGGGAGCCAGGCAACAGGCAGAGACGTAGCAACACACACACACACACACACACACACACACAGGAACACAAACACACACTTCGCATCAGGGTGGGCAAGAGCCCGCCTGCACAGCCCAGCCCGTGTGTGCGGGCACGCTCAGGGAACCTGGAGATACCATCTCTCCACACCTGGGCTCTACCACACACTGAGTCCAGTGCAGGGCTCACAGGCATGGCCCCCGCCTCAGCCCCCTGGGGCGCCCAACCATTGCGCCCCGGCATCCCACACCGCCTTCTCCAGCTCTCACACAACTGTGGGCCCAGCCACCCCCAACACCCCCCCAAAAAACCTTCAAGTGGATTTACACCTTTGCAGAGTGGCCTACCTAAGGCGAGAGAGGTGAGTTCGAGACCCAGGAATGCATTCACTTCAGACCCTGCTTTTTTTTGGGGGGGGAGGGGACTCAATTTTTTAAGGGGTTTCTCCAGAGAGGACCCATAGAATGAACGCCCCCAACTCTGCCCCAAGGGTTTGAAATTGACACATGCCCTGAGCTAGCCTCCCCCACCCCCACCCTAGGCGAGGCTCAGCCTGCAAACTTTGGTACAAAGTTACTCCGCTCCCTGGGGAGGGCCTGGAGCCAGGGGAAGGGGTAAAGGTCATAGAAATGGGCTATGGGCCAGGCTAGCCAGGGAACAGGGATGGGCTGAGGTAGGGATGGTGGGGGCAGGGGTGAAAGGGCATAGATCGTGCCTTTGGAGCCCCCAGGAGTCAGATCCTCCTCCCCACACTGAAGATGACTGCTCCCACCACACACACCCCCACCCCAGCCTCGGCTCCCCAACCCGAGGGAGGAGAAGGCAGGATCCGAGAATTAAAACCAGCCCCCAAACAGAGAAAAGGAGCACTCACCACCCAACCTCCACCCTCTGCCACCAGCTCCACTGCCCACGGGCACCCTCCCTAGAGGGGGAGGAAACCACAGGCCCAACCTCCAGGGTACACAGCACCACCCTCCCTGCCCACCATGGTCTCCCCACTGGTGCCAGAATCCTTCCCTGCAGCAGGTGCCCCCACCGTCCACTCCTCCGTTACCCGGAGGAAAGTGGAGAGGGCTGGCTGCAGGGAGCAAGCGCAGAGGTCTGACAGACCCAATCTGGGCTCTGCCACTCCACATGACCTTACAAGAGTCACTTCACCTCTGCAGGCCGGTTTGCTCTTCAGGGACCCACCTGCCTCAAGGGCACGGTGCGAGCAGGTGGGAGGGAGAAGTCCTCAAAGCCCCTTCTTGCACAGGGCAGCACACACAGGCCCACAGGCCAGGCAAGCAACACCCCCCACCCCTTCCCACCTACCTCTCAGCCTGTCCCACCACCAATACCGGGGCCTCGACGAAGTCGGTTTTGCCCACACTCCAGCCAGACCCAGCATCTGCTGACAGGGCTGGGAGGGAGAATTACCCTATTTTCCAAGGTCGGCTTTCCTGCAGACTAAGGAGAGGGGTATTTGGGGGTGTGGGGGTGTGTGGAGCCTTTCATTTCACAAACAAACAAGGAGGGGAAGCAGAAAACAGAAATTCACCATTTCCTCCTACCTCACAGAGGGGAACCTAGGTTCCCAGCCAGGTGGGCTCCCAAAGTTCTCCTCCACACTCCCTTCCTCCCCACTCCCGCTTCCTGCACCTCAGTGCTACCCCCACCAGCAAGTCTCCCAAGGAGCAGACCCCGGCAGACCCCAGACCTGCTTCCTCTAGAGCAGCAGTTCCCAACCTTCCTCACGCCAAGACCCTTTTGTACAGTTTCTCATTTGGTGGTGACCCCCAACCATAAAATTATGTTCGTTGCTACCCCATCACTGTACTTTTACTACTGCAATGGCTTGGGCAACCCCTGGGGAAGGGGTGGAGAGCGGCTGCTCTAGATCCCCTGCCCTGGCACGGGCTGGGAGGGCAGGGCAGAGGAGGGCAAATCTCAAACTAGAGCAGTGGGCTGGAACTGTTTGTAAACTTTCCAGGAGAATGGCGCTTGCGCGTGCGCATGCACACACACACAACCTCTCCCTTCCCCCACGCGCCTCAGATGCATGATGAGAGGGTGGTTTGAGGGAGTGACCACTACTTCATTTTTTTTCCTTTTTCCAAAGGCTTGCGCATTGCCCCCACCCAGGAGTCAACAGCATGTCACAGCCCACCCCCACCCCTTTTACTTCCCCTATGACCCCTGAGCGGTAGGAGACCAGGTAAGTCAGCCTCCTGGCTGCTCCAGGGGAGCCTCAGAAGGATCACCTGGGAAGAGGGGGCTGGCACAGGTGGGCAAAGCCTCTTCCCCATCACCCCCAGGAAACTCAGGGCCTGCCTCTTCATCGTGCCCCACATAGGCCTGGGCTCTGCACAGTGTCCTCGGAGGAGTGGAAGGGAGACCTCAAGTGGTTGCCCTGGCCTCTAGGTGCTGGGCCTGCAGTGGGTCAGGTGCCTCCTCCACATGGGTCCCACCAGGCCCAGGTCCTGCCCTGCCACCGGAACTGCCCAACCTCCACACACAAGTCTCAGTAGGGACTAAAGACCCTTGCACAGTGGCTTTCCACCTCCCTCACG